CCCACATCCACATCCACACTGTCAATGGTAGGCAAATCCTCCACAGAGACCAGAAATTTTTTTTGGATCCGATGTACATATCTATATAGACCATGTTGTTCTTTAGATCGTTAAACGTTATAAAAGACTCTGCTTAACTTGATACTGACTGTCTCTCGACTGATGACTCACTTTCAACAGTGTTTAGATAAATTAACTGGAGAGAATGAGGTGAATGCGAAAAGAGTTCATCAACAACATCAAGAGCGAATTGTTAAAATTCGTGAAGAAATTAATGATAAAACTCTGAGTGAAAACGAACGTGTTGTCAAACGATCTCTTGTCAAAGAGTATGAATCTCAGTTAAAAACATACGAAGCAACTATCCGATCGCTCGTCGATGCGCCTGATTCAACAAACCAGCATCTAGAGAACAGACGACTTCGGGCACTTACACGTGAAATCAATCGACTTGAATTACATTTACCAATTTATGCTCGACGAGATGATATAATCAATGCCGTTCGCACAAATCAGATTCTGATTCTAAATGCTGATACTGGAGCCGGCAAAAGTACGCAAGTCGTACAATATTTGGCCGATTCTGATCTTGTAGATCACGGTAAACATACAATAATCTACTTTTTATTGTTCTTAAAGCCGTTGTAACTTCTTTTCAGGTGAAATCGTCTGTACTCAGCCACGTCGATTTGCAGCACGAGCACTGGCTGATCATGTAGCCAAGGAATTTGGTTGTTGTGTGGGTGAAGAGGTTGATCAATGAAATTACTATGGAATTGAGCATAATTCTGATAATTTTTTTCTACATATTTAGATAGGTATTCATCTTGATGCAAAGGGGCCAAAAGTATCGAAGTTGACCAAGATTCGCATCGTTACAGAAAATGTTCTCCTCAATCAATATCGCCAAGATCGAATGCTGTCTTCCTATTCAATCGTGATCATCGACGAAGCACACGAACGACGAATCGATACTGATCTTCTCCTTGGCGTGATGAAGTTATGCGTAGCACAACGGCCCGATATCAAAGTTAGTTTGAATATTTTCTTTACTTACTAATTATTCTTTGAATTGTCTCAGTTGATCATTATGTCGGCTACATTGGATATCAAATTGGTTAGTCGTTACTATCCCGGATCGCATGTTCTCGAAGTAGCTGGACGAACTTATCCGATCGAAGACAGATTCTGTGAGAAAGACATAGACGATTATGTCGATGGAGCAATTCAATTCGCGTGCGCAATTCATCGTAACAATCTACCTGGTGACATTCTTGCTTTTTTGACTGGACCGGATGAGATCGATCGAGCTGTAGCAGAGGTACAACAAAATTTAAAAGATGCTGTGAAGGTTTTACCGCTACACGGTAAATTACAAGCAGAAGAAATGACAGAAATTTTCAAAAAGACACCATTAAAACGTAAGATTATCTTTTCTACCAATCTTGCTGAGACATCAGTAACGATTGATGGTGTTCAACATGTCATCGATTCAGGTATGGTCAAAGAGATGATATGGGATGAAAAACAAAAAATGCAAGTTTTAAAAACCGGTCGAACAACCCAAAATTCGGTGAAACAACGGCGCGGTCGAGCTGGTCGAACATCACCTGGCACGGTAAGTCTTTGAAATGAGATCCACTATTCAAATTTTGTAGCTATTCTAGTGTTATCACTTGTATACGGAAAAGACCTTGACCGCAATGCTCATGTGTCCTCGTTCGGAAATTCTCTCAACAGAGCCAAGTATCGCTGTCCTAAAATTGAAGCATCTCGGCGTCGTTGACAACGCAGAAAACTTTGATTGGGTCGAAGCGCCATCAAAAGAAAGCATTCGTCATGCGGTGCATCGTCTCCGATGGCTTAATGCAATTGATTTGAAATCGAATCAATTGACAGAAACTGGAGATCGAATGGCTCAACTGGGTTTCTCGCCGATGCTATCAGCAATGATTTTGGATAGCCTTGGTAAAGCCTGTGTCAATCATGTTCTTGCTCTAGCCGGAATGTTGAGTGTGTCGGATAACATTTGGTGGCGCAGCAGAGATTTGGACGCACAGCGGCGTGGAAAGGGGAAGCGAACCTATTTCTCTCAAAACAACGGACTGGGTGGAGATTTTATTATGCTATTAAGAATTTTTCTGGAATGGCAAGCGGTCGAAGTAGACAAGAGAATGACTTGGTGCTTCGAAAATACAATTAGTGCTAAGGCTTTAAAAACGGCTTCGAAGTTTGCGAATGAAACCGCTCGACAATTGAAAATAGCCTTGCCGAGATTCAACAGAGCGACTATCGAACAAAATTTAATTAATGAGATCATGGGCTCTGTAAGAGCGGGTTTTTTTCAAAATTTAGGTATTCTTGACACGTCTTCGAGAGATCCCTATAGAGTGTCACCGGCCGGTCCGGGACAACCCGCAATTCGGGCGAGAATACATAAGTTCTCGAGTCTATATTTGATTAAACCAACGCCGAAGTATGTTCTCTATTATGGCATTCTAAATTTTAAAGATATGAACTGTATGATGACATTATGTGTGATAACTCTTGATTCCAAAATCGAAGCATGGCAAAATTCTCGTTCTGATAAACCGGTTGATTGCAATTTTGTCAGTTCAACGACGTTTAATTCAACGCCTACTTCATGCCAAACTTCAGTTTTGAAGAATACTAATCAACATTCAGGAACTTCTGTAAAACCAGGACCGAGTAAGTCAGCACAGCAAGTACAAGAAAAAGCTGAAATATTGAGTGTAACTTCTGACTCTTCACTTAAAGACCACAGAATAGTTGTTTATGTACCTGATTTACCCGCAACTATTTCCGATAGTAAATTGCTCGAGACAGATATTGCTAAGTTTTTGGACATAAAGCATAAACTAAAAGTGAAAAGCATAAGTTGCAACATACAATTCGGTGTGGGCATTGTACATTTACAAAGCAAAGAAGATAAAGACAATTTGATTCAAAAAATCAAATGGATACCAATTGACAACATGCCGAATACTACTGTGTCTTTCACTGCAGAGCTTGAACTGATTTCTTACGTTGTCATTGAATCCAGCGAAGCAAAAACGTTTCCAACTGCCGAAAATCTATCTCAACGATGGGTACAAGTCTATCAAATCAATGCACCCCTTCAATGCAAAACATTATCCGATCGATTTCGAAATATATTTAGACTTGTAACAAATTCGTTCGAGGAACTTATGAGAGCTACATCGAACAAAACTTTTTTTATTGATAATCTGTTGGCAACTGTGTACTTTCGAGCTGATTGTTGTTTTTTTGAAGATCTACCAGCTATGACTGATTCGAACCCTCTGAAAGCAGCCATTATCAATCAAATAACTACAATGAAAGTTCTCAAAACATCATTGTACATTCAATACAATAAAACAGAAGCTAATGCTGTTGTTTTATCGTGTCAGCAAGCTCGAATATGGTCATTCTTCGATTCGATTGATTTGGCCGGCTGTAAAATCATGAAGAAAGACCGACTCTCTGATCGCCGAATAACACAACTTGAGCCAACAAAAATTTCTTTTTTGAGCACCAAAACTGACGAAAATAATACGAAGATCGTAGTCAAGCCTATATCTTCTCATGAGAGTCTTATTACCAAGCCTAGTGACAAACTAGTGTTTGACAATAATCTCAAACCCGCATCAACGGGTGGTGATGATCTTCCAACTAATATTAAGCGATCTTTACATAAAAAAGCAGAAACTAATGAAATCGATGCTGAAAACTGGTATACAACGAAGATGTACGACCTCAAACCTGACATAATGTCGTTCGTCGCCGATCCTCAGCATCCAATTTTTCAACTCGAATGGAGTCCTAAAGCATTTCTAGATCAACTTAGTTATTTGACCTTGAAAGCTGACAGCAACTTTGGACTCGAATATGGTCGTTCGCGAATGAGTGATCGAGAAAAACAATGTTTACTACGCATGACAGTAATGCTAAACACAATCGGTATCGTCAGAAAAGGCATTTATCGTATCGGTGATAAGAAGATCCAGCTACAGTCAAATCAATTGAAAACGATTCTTTACGATCATCGATCACTGCTGGAACCTTCTGTAACGAAATCGTTATCGAATCTAAGTACATACCCGTTTACATCGACAACTATCCGTGTAGTGAATGAGGATCGTCTCATTATTTACAAAAAAATGGTATCTATAGGATTGCGTCCTGTATTCCTTAATATGGCTTGTGGCACGGCTCCGGCAGATGGCTATCGTAAAGGTTACAAAACTCAAGAAGCGACTCTTTTCTGTCGCTCTGACTATTTTCGAAGTCTTGATGCTGATCTCGACCATGGAATGCCAAGTGCTCGTTATTATTGTAATTCAAATGGTGAACTAAAACCATTGTCTAAATATGACAATATGTATCCGATGAATGAATTCGGCGCAATCTATACATCAGGATTGACAGTTTTTCGTGAATCAGAAGAAAATGGTTATGCTTTGATGGATGTACCAATAACGGATCTTTGTACTATTAGTATGGCTGCTTATCGCGATTCGAAGGTAAACAATGAAGGTTGCCTGATCTCTAAATATTCAATTGGAATGCGCAAAAAAATTGAAAATATTTTTGCACTTGCTTATCATCACCGACATGATTGTCTTGTTCTATCTGCATTTGGCTGTGGCAATTTTGGAAATCCACCAAGCCATGTTGCAGCAATTTTTAAATCGGTCGTAGAGCAATATGCTGGATTTTTTAAATATATCTACTTTGCTATTCTTGATGATTACCGGGCGGTACAAGGCTCCAACCCTTACGGAAACTATCAGCCTTTCGAAAAGTTGCTCAATCATAAAACAGTAGAACCTCTAAGACACAAAATGAAAGATATGATGATAGGACCTTGGAGAATTTGTAATAAGACAACTAATGAGGAGGTACGTCTCAGTGAGGTGAGAATATATACTCATCCTCTGTGTGATGATGGAGGAGAGTGTACGAACTTACAAAGTGTGAAACATTGCGCTGAATATTCGCATCCACCTGTTTGTCCGTTTTCGGTTGATCGGACTCGCTGTAAACAAAAGTTTGGTCGTGATCATATGCTGTGGTTCAGGCATGATGTCCTAGACATATGTCATGGGATAGATAACTGGAAAGTCGATCGTGATGACATACCCAAGCGTCCGCTTTCAGAACTTGATATTACTTCTCAACGAATTAATGCTCATTATTCGGATGAAAAAAAATCTCAAACTCCTGATCATGTATTACGGACAACTACCATACTAAAGGGCCATCACAATTCACTATTGATGGGGACGAAAGAATCGAATTCAAATTGCATTGACCTGCATTCTAGAGACAGTCCAGTAAATAACTACATATATCCATATTCCCAGAACCATAATGCTATAGAAGATCGAAGTCATATGGAACAATCTCCGTACCTTGGTCAGAATTCGCGTTCAACTCTAACTAACAGTAATCATCTATTTCCTAGATATGAACCACAACCAACGTATATGCATTCATTGAATCAATTATACCAAAGACTCGACGATGATATTCAAGGTAACAAATATCGACATCGAGATATTCTTAATCAATGCTGTTCAAATCGTGAGGACGCTTACAGGCAAAGTAAGTTATTTATGAGTAAATTGAAAGAACTCGACTAACTGACTTATACTTTTTTTTCTATTTTCAAGTGAAAAAGCCATCATACGACTTGCCATCATCTAAAACCTATCTTCAACAGCAACATTATCCATGTGAAAGAAATACAGAGATTGATTACAAACGACACAAATATGGTTCCTCTCAATACCGATCGGTGTCTTGTGATCAAAGTAGTACTCAACGTTATTCAAATGATTCGCATTCTGCTAACTGTGCATCTCATTCTCCAATCAAGAAGAACGATGGCTAGAGTATTGCGGAATCAAGTTTCTCGACTTTAATCTTGACTCCGAAAAACTTCGAAATTTACTTTTGACCCATACATATAACAACTCCAGAAATAAATTTTATAAGCTTAATATCTGTACATTTTCTTGATTTTAATTCGGCTAGAGTTATAAAATCGGATGATGTGTTTTGAATGTGTGTCGTTACGATGATACGAAATATTTTCATTTTACTAAATACATAATCTTATGAAATGGCAGAAAGTATATTAGCATGATAAAGCCAACAACACTAAATTCTGGACGCCATAAATAATCTAAGTTGTACTTTGAGAAGATTTTCATTACATACTTCCCAATGTAAGGGGATTTTTGTTTACCCAAGATCAATTTTTAGAAATTGCCTGTGTATCAAAAGCAGTCATGACTGATTTCGAGCCTACTTAAGGGTCTCAACACATGGTGTTTGATTTCGGAACAAAGCTACCACTTCTTCTTTTTTTTAGCATGTTATGCATATTTTTACCAATATTTTCATTGCAAAGATCGTTTTTCATAATTATTAAAAAACATTCTTATAAATAGTTGCTGCTATCGATCAAATTTAGACATTTATTAGATATCAAAATGAGATCACAACAAAAAACAAGGGTGTGGGTGTAGGTGTGGGTGTGAATGGGTGTAGGTGTGCGTTGTTGGTGAGAGTAGGAGCTAAAAGAATACTCGTCCTCACCCACGCCGACATCCACACCCACAACCTCACCATCAACCTCACTCATACGTTGCACAAGTCCTCGGACGAGCGTTACTTGTATTTTTGCATAGACATTATTCTTGTTATGCATATGAATCGAAAAACAAACAACATCTATAATGTCAGGTGATGAAAGGTTTTCTCCAGTTTGGTGAAATGAAAAGGAAGTATGAGTAATCACAACCACTGCGAAGTTGGAAAATTTTTTCAACGAGAATAGTATTTATAAACAGAGAAAGATGCAAAAAAAGCATTTAAAATTATTTTCGACGCACTATTCACTCAAGACAATCGAGCTTAGTTTTCGACAGGTATATCAATTGTACAGCGCATGCCTCTAATAAGAACAGATATTTCAACATCCTTGATTATCATGCATTTTTCTCAGTCGTTTTTAGTCATAGAAAATTATTTTTTCAGTTCGGAGTAGAGGAACATCTTGAGGTGTGGGTGTGTGTGGATGTGTACTCTTTCTATTCCCACCCACACACCCTCAAAGGGATTGAACAATTGCTGTCTAGTAGTTAGGAGACGTTATTTAAATGATTTAATGTTTGTACATCTATTAAATTTTCTAAAAGGGATGTCTTCATTTATAAATCAAAATATTTAGATGCAATTAATTTCGATTATTACAATAATTGTACTCAGTTCTGGTTGTGTATTGGCATATAACAAAACACGTGATCAGCAATGGAACTTATGGAAAGATACACACAAGAAAAACTATTCTGATGTTGAAGAGCCTGTTCGGTATAATATATTGTTCTTTATTTCTATTTCCAATTGATTATTAAACTTGGAAATTGTAGTCGTGTTGTGTGGGAAAATAATACGAAGATAATCGAAGAACACAATCTTCAAGCTGACCTTGGTGTTTATGCGTATTGGCTTGGAATGAATCAATACGGAGATTTAGTAAGCTTTTATACTGTAATCTCCAAGTATAGTTTATCTATAATTTGTTTCACAAATAGACTGTCAATGAATTTGTACAAAAATACACTGGTCTTAAGGGAAAGATGAAAACAAAATACAATCAAGTTCGTCAAGTATTGGTATGCAATTCGACTGTTATTTTGCCAGACTCTGTCGGTATGTATTACAGTAAACTGAAACTATGACGTATGAAAGTATTTGACTGTTTTCTTGCTAGACTGGCGTAACCAGAATGTCGTTGAAGCAGTCAAAGATCAAGGTGATTGTGGATCATGTTGGGCTTTCTCAGCAGTTGGCTCAATTGAAAGTGCATATGCTATTAAAACTGGCACGCTTGTTTCCCTTTCCGAACAACAATTAGTTGATTGTTCTGGTGGGGAAGGAAATTATGGTTGTGGCGGTGGTTGGATGGATTATGCCTTTGTATATGTCATCAATGCAAGCGGCATCGAGACAGAAAGTTCATATCCATATACAGCGGTTGACCAGACATGTGTGTTCAATCCAACAGAGACTACTGTCCAAGTCTGTGATTTCGTTGATATAGCATCAGGAGACGAAGTAGCTCTCCAACAAGCCGTTGCTACTATTGAACCAATATCAGTCGCGATTGATGCTGGTCATTCCTCATTTCAGTTCTATCAATCCGGTGGTATGTAGTATTCTTCTTTCATCTACAACTATCATTTTATACGATATTTTAATAGTTTACAATGAATCAACTTGCTTGCAAGATATATTTGATCTTGATCATGGTGTTCTCCTTATTGGTTATGGTACGGACGGAAATCATGACTATTGGCTGATAAAAAACAGGTAATTATTATGTTTCAGTTAGTTTATTGATAAATTTACTATTTCTATCATGTTCTTAGTTGGAATACGGATTGGGGTGACCAAGGCTATATGAAAATGACACGAAATCAAAATAATCAATGTGGTATCACGACGGCGGCCAGCTATCCGATTATTTGCTCTTCAAATAGGCAACCAGTACAGCATATGACATCGGATGGTTTCTATATGATATCTAATATGTGGCAGGTGATCGTTATCTATTGCTTTGTAAAGACATGTTACGACTTGTAACAGCATGTTTCAGAATATATCAATTCAATATATCACTATAAACATATGCACAATCCACAAAAATCCACGCTCATCGACACTCACATTTATACCATCAGCTATTCCGCCTTTTCCCAAACTTTGCTTTCATTCTTAATTTAAAAATAAATATTTACATCAGAAATCTTCAAATTACTTGATTTATATGTGATTGATAGGTACAATTGCAAAATAGAAAAGCAATTCTTATTTCAAGATTCAAATAGAATTATGCCATACAAAAAAAATCAATTTTTTCTCTTCATATACAGAATTGTGCAATATCATCCTTAGATAGATATAAGTATTGTGGGCGGAAGTGGGTGTGCATGTTGGTAAATCAAAGATGAATTCATACCCACACCCACACCCTTGTTCTTCATTATATACATAAACAACGTTTCACACATTATACACGAACAATTCGAAATCCACAATTGAAAATAATAAAAATTATGGTATAGGTATTCGAAATAATTCCAACCTTTCAAAATAAACTATTCATCGAAATATTTCAAAACAATTCATTCATCGAAATCTTTCTGAGAAGAACAGAAAAATAAATAAAGAACATTCGTCGAAAGATTGATTCCGTTAGATGTAGGTGTGGTTGTGAGTAAATGAGTGTGGATGGATGTGTATGTGAATACTCTATTCCAACCAACTGTCACCATCACCCAGACAGTCGATTCATTGCTTTCAATTTTCATGTGAAGCTCTCCATGCTTTCTCTTTCCTTCCATGAGAAGCAGTTGAGTAGCAACAACGAACAAGTAATAAATGTAAACAATCTGAGAATGTTGGAAATTATGACTGGCAGTCGAAAAAGTATAAAAAGAAGCAGAAACTACGTAATCAAGTGTAGGTAGTTGACGGAAGATTCGACAAGAGAAGGTAAGCATATTTTATGTGACTACATGTTTGAGAGAGGAGAAGGGTTTCTTCTATAAACATATAATGAAATTTTGCCAGTTTGTGTGTGTGCATGTGGATATTTTTCGCATTCATCATTCACGGTCTCACATATATCAAAAACTCATTAACATATGATTTTTATCTTGAACAATATTCGAAATAAAACCTGACTCTACCTTAAAGATTAATTAGATTCCTACATATGTCTGCGAGAAAGAACAATTTTTTGTTCTACCGGCACAGAAAAATCATATTAAATAATGTAAATTTATTGTTTACTTACTCACTCGTAAAAAAGTTATTGCCAACCATGTGCTGAATAAAGTATTTTTTTTGATGTAGATTGATTATTAACTATATATACCATCATTTGAATGGCTTTCTTCGTACGATCGATATTTAGGTAAATCCTTTATACATATAATCGATTTCATATTGTAATTCTTATTATTACATAAAATTTTAATAAGATTTGTATTCTTTTTTTTTATTTAGAAGATTTTCTAAAACAATACAAGAAAAAAGAAATACTCCTCTTATATCCAATAAACGAAATGGATTCCTTTGTTTTATTTTATTGTTTATTATAGCTTTAATCGTATCAATTGTTTTCATATTCGAAGTTTATTATCAATATGGTGAATGTGCTGTATCTACAAAATATTCAAAGGAAAATATGAAATTAACTCATCGGATAATGGACATGTTAGATGATTTATCAATTGTTTATTGGCCTGATTGTCAATCATTATTAAATGTTTTAAGAAATGAAACATATAACATATGGGATCAAGATGTTGATTTATCAATTGAATGGCCATTTAAATCCAATCATATCCATTCGAAATTAAATAATATTCAACTTTTCATTGAAACATTGCAAAACAATGATTTTAATGTTGAATATTATCCAGATAGAAAATTATTTTCATTATCATCTGTAAATGAAAAATCTGCACGACAACCACATGTTGATATATGGTTATGGAAACGTTACGATGAACATGAAATGAAACCAGTTTTACAATTATTTGATTCTAGTCTTAAATATCAATCAAGATTAATTTCAGATATTTATCCATTGAAGTCTGTTTCATGGTTAGGAAGAAATGTTAAAATACCAAGACAATCACATAAAATTGCATATAAAGAATATGGAATATCGTATATGAAACCGATTTTCATACGAAATAATTGTCTTCATAATTTAATTGACGGTCGATGGTTTTATAATGCATAGTAGACATATTTTTCTCTTCATCCGACTACGCAGAGACTATGACGAATGTTGACACAGACAATTGCATTTTTATGTATTCATAGTTAACGTTGAATTTATTTTGTGATGTGATGTTGGTTTTTTTGTTAAATGGGTCATATTTAAGTGAGAATTATGCCAAAATGACGTTTTTTTTCAAGTCAAAAAAAAACTGAACTGAATAAACTTATCAATATTTTCTTATATAGTCAGTCATTTCCACTCATAGTAAGTAGATTGAAATCTATTTCGAAGACAAGTTTCGAAAAATGACTTTCCTTCTTAAATAAATAAACGTTTTCGAATAATTATGATCGTTCGATGATTATATTATTGTCACATTCATAGCCATCCGATATTATCTTGCTCTCTATAGTGTATACATAATAAGAGCATCAAAGTAAGATGATTTGACGTCAAACAAATTTATAAGTAGAGTAAAGTCTAATGTTCTCATATTTATATAGAAACTTTGTTCTATTTAATGATAAAAATGCGTCAGCACATTTTCTGCTGACGATAACAACACTTATCTTTTAATATTCATACGTAAGTAAGAGGTATATATATAAAGCATTTGTCAGTAATAACTCTTTCATTTTCAAAGACAAATCTCCTGTGCAAGAAATAATATGGTTAACAAATATTTATACAGTTAGTATACATTATTGAAAATACTGAAATTTACTAGGAATGCAACGATACGAATGTATCAACCTGATCAGTGATCCTCTTGTGCAATATTTGATATTATAGAGACATGTACATAATAGCTTAGCTAACTTTAATTAAAAATACTTGAATATTTTTCTAACAGTAGAGATTGTCTAATCAAAAAATTTCTAACAAACACGAATTAATCAACCCAAAAATCTCTAATCAAGTTTTTTAAATACTTTCCATTCTCGTAAAGACTCTTTTGTTGTTTGCAAAACAACCAAAATAAACCCGAAAATTATCATAACCCTATGGTATATTCAGTATTAATCCATACATGCTTAGCGATACGATTGTTTTAACAATTTTCTTTGTAGTTATATTCTCTCTGGTGTTTACACTTATCATTGCTGTGCCGATAAAGTCAAATGCAATGATAACCATCAGTGAATCAACTATAGCTCATAAACATCAATCAAGTAAGTGTTACTCTAATAGTTGTACAGATATTGAAATACTACTTTTAATAAATGAGACGCACATGATCTATTTGTATATCATTTTAGAGTGGTCTCCATCTGGTAAAATGAATATACCACGAGCTGGACATACTGCATCTTTATTATCAAATGAAAAATTGTTAGTTACTGGTGGTAATTGGTGTTATCCTGGACCAGGTCCCGATATTTGTGTTTTAAATAGTACCGAACTGTACGATTTATCAAGTGGAACTTGGACATATACTAGTAGCATGCATAGTTCACGAAATGGACACACGGCATCCATACTAAACAATGGAAAGATATTAGTTACATGTGGATTTTGTAATACTGTTATACTACGTAGCACTGAATTGTATGATCCATCGACAGCTACTTGGAAAGTTAGTAGTGATATGAGTAGCGTACGATATCGACATACAGCATCTGTATTGACAAACGGAGAAGTTTTAGTTGTGGGTGGATTCGATGGTAATAGTAAAAGCGATTCTTATTTATATGATCCAACAAATGAAACTTGGACGCCTACTGGCAATTTGTATACTGCACGTGATGGACATACAGCATGCATATTAAGCGACGGAAAGGTGTTAGTTACTGGTGGACATAATGGTAGTAGAGTATTACGCAGTGCTGAGATCTATGATCCATCAAATGGAACTTGGACTGTTACTGATAACATGACGGAAGCACGAGTTCGTCATACAGCAACCACATTACCAAACGGAAAAGTTCTGATTGTTGGTGGAGTACATATTCACACTTTAAGAACTGCTGAATTGTATGATCCAACCAATGAAACATGGACAACTACAGGGAGTATGAATAATGCACGAGAGGATCATGCAGCAGTGTTATTACCAAATGGGCAAGTGTTAATTACTGGTGGATTTATTGAAAATGGTGTTCTTAATAGTGCTGAGTTATATGATCCATCAACGGAAACTTGGTCAATTGTTGGTGATATGTATAATGCGCGATTATATCATACAGCATCAGTATTATCAAACGGAAAAGTTTTAGCGGTTGGCGGTCTCTCTGATGCTACTTATCTAAATGATACTGAATTGTATACTTCACCGACAGAGAGTTTGACAAATATTGATCAAATGAATAATGTACCATACGAACAAGATATGCGTAATATCAAATGAAAAGATTGTAGTCACTTGTGGAAATAGTGATACATTTTGCTAATAATCTAGATGTATTCACTTGAATTTTTCAATAAAATCCTTTATAATAAAAGAAATAAAGTCAGACGATAGGACAAGCATCTTGAGGGTGTGGGTTAAGAAGATATACCCTCATTCACACCCAATATTGCCAGACCAAAAGATTTGCTAGTTAAATGTGGCCTGTGAAAATGTCGAAAGGTGTGAGTGAGAATCTGATGATTATACAAATTAAAATCCTCACTCATACACTCACCCTCACTTTCATTCACATCCACACTCTCATCTTCACCCACATCTACACTTTTTTCAGCATTTTTATTGTCGACGTTTTGCTACTTTCTCGATCAAAATCTTAAAAATCAAAATTTTTTTGTTCAAATTCGAAACATTTTGAAGAAAAGTCGAAAAGTGATAATATATTATACTTCATCGTGATTAGAATTGAAACAAATACATCAAATATGGCTCTTTAAGTGATGTTCATTCGATTTCAAAACTATCGTTTTCCCTAGCTGTTTTATATATTATTAGATTTATCATTCATATCAACGTTTATTTTATTCTGAAATATAATCGCTAAATAGAAAATGATACGCTCATTCACATTTATGTTCAACTGAAGTTTTGTTTAAAGATATTTTTAATTCATATGATTTTTTCGAAAACCAAATATTGAATAAAATTACTTCAGCAAAACTTACGAGGAAGGTTTACCAACTTGAAAATCTCTTTCGGGTTCAAACATAGTTGGTCATAGGTAATCGACCATACTGAATCACCATATTCTCTAATAATGCAATTTCTTCTGTGTAGTTTGAATAGAGAACTACGATTTCACATTTGTTTTGGGTTCAACCAGATCTGGATCAACTTACAACTAGATATTTCAACAAATCATTTATTTCATTAGTTGGCAACATACCTGACACTCATACTCATTCGCACTCTCACTCACATCATCCTTCTTTAATTCTAATAAGAGAAGTGCGCGATAGTATGAATTGATATTTGGATGGTTTTTTTATTAATGAAATATATATTTGGTTAAATTTTCTTGAGTAAAATAATGAAAAAAAAAATTCCGGATTATATAAAATGAACTAACTAAGAATAAAAAATAAATGAATAAAATAAGTTTATTTATTTAAAACCAAATCCAGTTTTGATATAAAGTTTTCCACCACTAAATATAAGATTAACAGTACCAATGACGGTTCCAACTACTTTATATTGAACATTAACAGCAGCTACATTACCTGTACCAGCTTCTGAAGCAACATTTCCTGCATTACCAATGAATTGTGTTACTTGATCACGAGTCCATCCAATTTGTAATGATGCAAATTGTTGTTGAGTAATCATGTAAACTCCTGTATCTAAATTAGCTTGAGTTTTACTATAAACAATTCCTCCTTGAAAAGTAATTAAAGCTGATGCTGAAGATGATGCACCTCCAGTATACAGAACTATACTAGTTTGAGATGTTGAACCTTGTACTCCCGATTGAGAGATAAGAGTGCCAGAGCCACCAAGAAGTGCTGTAACTTGTTGTTGAGTCCATCCAAGTTGTATTGTATTATATTGTTGTAAAGTAATTTTGTTGCTGATAGTTAAAAAATAACCGATTCCAGTTTTTGCTGTTAATTTTCCGTTAATAAAAGTAAGATCAGCATTACCAAAGGCAGCTCCAGCTGCTGTAAACCGAACTACAATAACAGCTGTATTACCTGAACCACCTTCTGAACCATTACATCCTGCACTACCCACTACATTTGTCACTTGATCACGAGTCCATCCAATTTCAATTGTTGTAAATTGTTGATAAGTCATTGTATAAATACCAGTATCTAATCCACTTTGAGATTTAGTTGAAAGAATTCCTCCTAGAAAAAGAAATGTAACTGCTGCTAAAGATGATTATGATCCAACATATTGAACTAAAGTAACTTGATATGATGAACCTTGTGTTCCCGCTTGAGAAACAATTGTACCAGAACCACCAAGAAGTGTTGTAACTTGTTGTTGAGTCCATCCAATTTGTATTGTATTATATTGTAGAAGATTAATTTTATTACTAACAGTAGTAGCAAAACCAATTTCAGATTTTGATACTATTTTTCCACCAACAAATCCAAGAGTAACAATACCAAAGGTAGTCCCAGCTGCCTTATATTGAACAATAATCATAGCTGTATTAGCCGTACCAGCTTCCGAAGCATTACATCCTGCACTACCAACTAACTTTGTCGCTTGATCACGAGTCCATCTAATTTCAATTGCTGTATATTGAGCTAGAGTTATTGTATAAACTGTTGTATCTAAACCAACTTGAGTTTTACTAAAAAGATATCCTCCTTGGAAAAGAAATGTAGCCACTGCTAGAGGTGATTGTGATCCAGTATATTTAATAATAGTAATAGCCGTATTTCCTGTTCCAGTTTGTGACACAAGATTTCCTGCACTACCGATATTTTGTGTAACTTGTTGCTGAGTCCATCCAATTTGAACAGTTGTATATTGTTGATAAGTGATAGTATAAACAACTGGAGCACCATCACATTGAAATACAACAGCTGTAAAGCTCACGAATACAAAAATATAGAATGATAACATTCGTTCCAACATATTTTATTAAAAAATATGAAAATCAAAAGAAAATGTTGTCAGTATTTCGTTCGTTGATCAGTAACTTCATTTATATACGCATTAAAATTTTTGTTTTTTTCATGATTTTTGTCCATGTCACAACCGATGAATAATTTTAATAGCATCTTTTATGTACCTAGAAATAATCACTTCCTTTTTCATAACGATACTCAAAGGTGAGGTCCTGCAGCGTGTTTATTCTGCTAATGTATAATTTATTTACGTAAGAGATGAAAAGTGAAGGTATGATTTTAATAGCTGCTACCATATTAAGATTGTCCATTGAATAGAGAATGCATCCTATTCCGCGATGTTGAACATTGGAGGAATCAGTTCCGCACCGGAATCGATTCCGTCCAATTCCGGGAACTCGATCGACACATAATATCCGATACCCACTCGAAAATGGATCGAGTTCCGTCCAATTCCGGAATTGCACGGAATTCCCACCGATTCCGGAATTGCACGGAATTCCTACCGATTCCGGAATTGCGGGAATTGGTTCCGATTCCGGAATTCCGCA